TTGCATCCAAATTTCTTTATTTTTTTTCCTCTTTTATCTTCTCATACCCCTCTAAAATCGTTGGGATAATTTGTCCATTTAATTTTATTTCTTTTAGATTTTCAGTAAACCGCTAAAAACCTTCAAAACACAACAGTATTTCGTTAGGAACTGATCTTTATTTGGCGCTCATCGTGTCTTTTATACCCTACTCCACTTATGTACTAGTTACAGTGTTCTTATGTATAACCGATTCTAGGGGTTAATTCTAGGAGTTTATATGTATGCTCTATTTCGAGGACAAGTGTATGTCATAAATGTTAATTCCTTGAGTTATCCCATCCTATTTATGTGGGAAGGGAAACATGCTTCTCAGGTCCCAAATGTAATCTGAAGTGGTGTTGCACCAACAACCTAACCTGTTCAAACGTGAACATTGATTGTTTGCATTTTAGATATAAAAAATATTCGTCAGATTTCAATCAAATTTAAACATAATTAACAAAACAATTTTAAAACAGCAAAGTTATAATATTCTTTCCTTTTTTATCAAGATTTTTCCAATGGGAGCTACATGAAATAGACGTCCAATAGATACTTTTGTGAAAATTTCCGGCAGATAGATTTAAAACTTAGAGACAAATTGAGGAAATGATAACACAAGGTATTATAAGAAAATCTCCTTATTGTAGCCCTATTTGAAAAGTACCAAAAAAAGAAGGATACATCGGGCATTCCCAAATTTTGTATGGCCATTGATTATAGAGGACTCAATGAATTAACTATTAATGATAAATTTCCTAATCCAAACATGGATGAAATATTAGATAAGGTATAAGTCAATACTTTTCAACATTAGACCTGTCTAAAGGATTCAATCATATTGAAATGGACCCGGACTCTTTACAAAAAACTGAATTCTCCACTAAGAAAGGACAATATGAATATACTAGAATGCCACTTGGTCTTAAAAATGCCTCCACAACATTTTAGCGTTAATAAAACTTAGAGAGTTTGATTACAAAAAGCTTTGTCAATAATTACAAAAAAGGAAACCAATGATAACAAAGTTTAAGAAATTTTTCAAAATGAAGATGAATTAGAAACTACAGCAGCAACAGTGCATAGTGCACAAGAAAATAATGGTAATTGCATATAGATAACTGAATGATCCAATTACGTTTTTAATCACCAACTAATATTTGAAAAAGGAAATCAGAACATGAACGAACTTACTCATTACTTTAACAACATTATTAACAAAATAATTTAAAGCAACATGAGCTTAGCAAAAGTTATAACTGTTTTCATATATGTGGACACAATATATCATGTACATTAATAAGGACTAAGACTTTGCTATTTTTCAACAAGCTTATATGGACTTAGTTAAACCAAACCCCGCTACAAAATTAATGAAAACTTAAGCAATACTTTCAAGCTTGCCACATATGCAGACTTTCCCCAAACCATATTAGAAATGCACGAAAAGACTATAATTCAAGTCATTAAAAAGTCGCATGACGACTTAAAAACTAAATACTATTTCCCAGACGCACAATAACTTATTCAAAACATTATAAATAACTGTGAGGTCTGTAACTTATGCAAAGCAGAGCACAGATAAGTTGCACTCCGTTTTGAAAAGATACCTGAAATAAAAAATCTTCGTGATAAACATGTTATTGGCTATTATTTCATTGACTAACTTAAATTTTAGACATGTATCGACATTCACTCAAAATTCATTACTATTATAAAAAAAAATAATAATTAATTACACAATTAATCTAAACAATTAAGTTCCTAACTGACAATTAATTCGACGGATTTCAAATCAAATTAAGCTTTTAGGTGGGAGAAATAAGTTCCCCGGATATTGGATGAAGTGTGTGCTACGAAAAAAAAAACAAATAAACCAGAACAACCACATTGCTCTTTAGCATTCCCACTAGCATACAATTTAAGAAAAGCCAATGCCAAAGCAACGTCGTATGAACCAGCGTTTGAATAGCTACGTTTCTCCCGTAGCATTACGTTTTGCTATTGCTACCGCTCTCACTTTGACGACAGCCGTAGCAGAGCCATGCAACACAACGAAAATGTAAGTGCTCTTTTCTGTTCGTCGCATAAAAACTATAAAAAAAGCAAAAAAATTAGAGCGAGATGAGAGCAAGTGATATTTTTCTTGTGCTACGGCTGTTTTTGCATTTTTCTACTTTTTATGTTTCTTGTCCACCGTTATTTTAAACTGTCGAAAATAGCAATCACAACTAAACCTCTAACCAAACACAGAAAAGACAAACCAAGAAAGCTCACAATTATGTACTAAATACAACAAAACACAAGACATATTACATATACTTTTCGTTGTAAAGAGGAAGTTAATACCTTTATTTAAAATATTAAGCACTTCCATTGCACAAACACTTGTTTTTAATATGCTTAAAAAAATGAGCTTCCCTTGCACGTTGCTTACGCTGAAATACCCAATACCCAATATCATGCTCTCTCTATCGATGCTATTCTAAACAATGAGAGTGTGATGAGAGCAGAGCAAGTGATATTTTTCTTGTGCTACGGCTGCCGCATGTGATTGTTTTTCTGTTTCTTATCCACCGTTATTTTAGACTGTCGCTTGCTGTAAGAAACAAGCAATAATGAGGTAATTTTAAGAAAGCTATTCTCAAGCGATTTTGATTCAACATTTTTTACCAAAACATACACTATAAGAAACTTCGACTTTTTTATATTACAAATCACAGGGTACGAACCATTCGTTTTATTTTGATATATATAAAAATCCGTGAATAAGGGGAGCTTAAGAATGCTGTTCTCAAGCGATTTTGAACCTTTTTTTACAAAGACATACACTGTAAGAAATGTCGATTTTACATTTATTTTTAATTAACAGGGTATGAACAATTCGTCTTCTTTTGATAAATATAAAAATCCTGGAACGAGGTCAGCTTAACAATGCTGTTCTCAACCGATTTTGATGGTGTAACGACATAATTCCACCGACATAATTCAGCCGTTTTAAAACGACATAATTTCGCTCGATCTAATGACGTTTGAGAACGCCATAAGTCCGCCGTAGAAAAAACGACATAATTTCGGTAGCCGCAGAATAAACTGCTAAGCGACATAAGTTCGCGCGAAATTATGTCGTTTTAAAACTATTTGTGCCGGACTTATGTCGTTTTAAAGTGACCTAATTTCGCGGGGAAAAACGACATAATTTCACCGGCCTCGAAACTATAAATATATATAAGTGACGTATTACCAAAAACTCTAGACATCAAGCCTAACACCCAGCCTGTATATCCCGAGATACCAATTACTTCATTTCTCAAACATAACTTTAACACCCAGCCTGTATATCCCTAGATACCAATTACTTAATTTGTCAAACATAACATAACAGAGCCTACTATAGGAGTTATTCAAGTTAATCAGACATAACATTAGATATAAATTTTTCCCACGTCTGTTATCAACAGTCCCCTTATTATAAACATTTCACGCGCCGTTACCGACGACAACAGACATAAGCAAATTATAAATTTTAAACAAAGGGTCCAGCATGAGAACCCATTCATCAGCATAAAAGCTTTGACCAATCAAAATTTAATAAACAAAAGATGCAGCCTGACAATCCACTCAACCCAACCAATCGAAATCTTCTGATCGAAGTCCACTTTCGCTGCTAGCGTCGCTGTCACCGATAAAAGTCATAGTTATAAGAATAATGCAATTGTAAAAACAGTTCAATTTTGGGAATCTAATTATAAAGACATTACCAATAAAACACCACAGTATATTAAAATAATATTATATCTCAAAGTGAAAAATCTAATTGGCGTAGCCGGTAGGATACAAGTAATATCCTCGCGAGTGACTACCTAAAAAGGACTTCAAAAATCACTTCGTGAAAAAAAAAATACTTGTATCCGCAAAACGAACTTACTTAAAATCATAGTGAAAAAATAAAAACATTACTCAAATCACGAATGAGAATTTCTAGTGTCTAATTCAGCGATAATAATCTAATAACTGAAATATCAACATCAGCAATTCTCTTCTGGAACTAAAACAAATAAACAAATTAAATGGAGACCCACTCTACTTGGCTCTCTTCATAAAGAAAGTCGACGAATTAGTTTACCATTACCCGACAACATCCGAAACCTTCTAATAGGACGAGTCCGAAAATTATTAATGAGAAATGTAACAAAGGAATTAAGGACTTAACTAATCAGCGAATACAACAGCGGAACCCCTCCACATCGAATGATTATGGAATTACGTGAGACTAAATATAAAAATAATTTACGTATACACGGTATTAGTTTCAAGAACTTTGAACGATACATTACAAACATAAATTACGTTGAGCAAATTTGATATATCAACTCATCTTAAATTAAAGCAAGCTGCCCAAGCTGTAGGATTGTTTGATGATAAACCCTTAAATACCTGCTCGCATACGTCCCAAAACTCTAATGATGACGACGAATATCCACATTGTAAATCATCAAAAAACTTAAACCCAAATAATCAGTCAGCTAACAGTCTAGGAGATAGATTCCAAAATACTAACTACTAAAGTCGATATAATAACAATCAACAGAGACAGACTCTAATAGGGGTAAAAATAGCAGTTATAATAATAATTCGTCTGGTAATCAATATTATCCTAGATCCTTCCAAAATAATCAAATAAAAAATACCCAGACTATTCAGAGTATTTATATTCCCCAAAAACGTGCCGAACCTCAGATTCATGTCAACAACGTAAGACTGAGCCAATGTACACAGTTGAAAATTTTCAGACAACAGCCTCGGAGGAAACACCACCGCAATAAAAATTAAAATTGATAACAAGCTATGCCTCGGTCTTATTGATACAGGCTGAAGCATAAATTTAATAAACGAATACTTTTTAAAATATCCTGCTAAAATATTTTGACATAAGTCCAAACGATAGGAGAATCAGTAACTTTAGAAAAATCTATCGAATTTAGTATTCCAAAATTATTTTCATCTAAACAAACATTTTTCTTAAAATACTTTTCAAATTATTATGATATTCTTATAGGAAGAAAAATCCCAAAAGAAAGGAACGTAAGCAAACTTTTTCAAGTAAAGTAAGTGATGACTAATATATTTATGCCACGCAAACTGACTTGACGAATAATTATTTAAGAGACGATCACTTAAATAATGAACTATAAACTGAACTTTGTTGGACACATAATTACAACTGAAGGAATCAAGGCAAATCCAAATGAAATAAAATCTATTCAATATTTTAAAATTTCAAACTCTCCGAAATAAATTAAATCGTTTTAAGACCTTTGCCGATTTTATCGCAAACTTAGAAAAAACTTCGCAAAAATCGCAAAACCAGTGAGTCTTTTTGTTTAAAGGAAGGAGCCAAAATAAAAATTAAAGATCCCAGTTATAACGAAGCGTTTGAAAAATTAAAAACTTTAATAAGTAAATACTACCCGGATTTCGAAAAAAAAAAGTTTGATTTAACTACAGATGCAAGCAATTATGAATTAGGTGCTGTGTTATCACAAGAAGATAAGCCTATTTGTTACGCCAGTAGAACTTTAAATGAACATGAATTACGCAACTATTGAAAAAGAATTACTAGCTATAGTATGGGCACCAAATATCTCTTTGGAAGACGTTTTAAAGCTCAGACCATTCGCCGCTTGTTTGGTTACATAACAAACAACAACCTAAAATGAAGTTACAACGTTGGATAAAAAAAGTTAGAGAGTTTGATTATGAAATAAAAAAAATTAAAGGAAAGAATAACCACGTAGCAGATGCTTTATCAAGAATTACAAAAAAGGAAAGTAAAGACAACAATCTTAAAGAAGTTTTTCAAAATGATGATGATTTAGAAACTACAGCAGCAACAGTGCAAAGTGCACAAGAAGATAATGGCAATTGCATACAGATCACTGAACGACCTATTAACGTTTTTAATCACGAACTAATATTTGAAAAAAGGAATCAAGACACTAACGAACTTACTACTTAAAAACAAACTAATAACAAAATAATTTACAGTGACATGACTGACCTTTTAGCAAAATATATAACAATAAAATTCATATGTGGACACCATTTTTATTATGTTCATTAATAATGACGAAGACTTTGCTATCTTTCAACGGGCTTATATGGACTTAATCAAACCAAACACTGGTACAAAATTAATGAAAACTTCAGTAATACTTCCAAACTTGCCCACATATGCAGACTTCCACGAAAAAAATAAAAATACGTTTGACGACTTAAAAACTAAATATTATTTTCCAGACGCACAAAAACTTATTCAAAACATTATAGATAAACACGAGGTCTGTAATTTATGCAAAGCAGAGCACAGAAAAGTTGAAAAGACTCCTTAAACCGAAAATATTCGTGATAAATATGTTATTAACTATTATTTTATTGACCAACATAATTTTTGACATGTTTTGACATTTATTCAAAATTCATTTCTATTATAGAAACAAAATCCTCAGACTGGATTGCAAATAAATAAGAAAGGAAGCAAATTTTGGCAAGCCGAAGTTCATATACTCTTGCAGCTATTGCAAAAATTAAATATTCTTAAAGACATTACAATTATGATAACTAACGTACATGCTTAAAAGCATTGAAGCTATGATGATTTCAGCTCAATTATTTAAGTGCGTATGGCAGCTATATGATATCGTTTTCCGATATTAATAAAATTAAAAGCGTAATTCTGAACTGTCAAATAATTAAATAATCAAAAAGAATTTCTAAAAAAAATTACAAAATAAAAAAGTTACATTTTTAAAAAAAAATGTTTAATATTATTATTGCTCCCATGGGATTTTAATAGTTTTCGGTTTTTTAATCACACATCAATATATCTCTCAAGTTACGATACTGGGAAACAACATAAAACATTAAAGTAACATTTAGAAATAAATAGAAATATAAAATGTACAACTTCAACAACTTTTGAATGGTAGCATTTTTTTTTTAAGTGTAAGTAACGTATTTAAGCTGTTTTCATTCCAATTATATTTTTTTCTCCAGGTCTGAAACCGAAAATAATTGTATCACTTTTTCTTGAAGATGGAACATTCAACCAGCTATTAACTTCAACAATCCGGTAAACCTATTTTATACAGATTTTGTCGTCTGCGAAAAGGAGGAAATGCGGAGTAAAAGGAATATTGTCGTCTGTGCGACACATATGACCTAAGAAGATGTACTCTTCCATAAAATTTTCTTTAGATCAGGGTTTCGCGACAAACTTCTTTAAGATGACAAAAACAGACGTTTTTAAACTTTTCAAATAAATTACCTACCCCATTGGGATAAGATTTAAACGGCAGTTTTACTTCAAACCAACCTGATCGTACTGCATGAGTAGTTTTTTGGAAATGTTCTCATGCTCAGGTGACCAAATTTTTAGTGGCGATGTTGTTTCCTCTAGTGATACTTGCTGTCAGAAAATGGAATCGAAAGACCTTCTCAAAGTGTTTTTATGTTCAAAGTGTTTTGCTCAGAGACTGAGCATTTCGGTTTGCTTTGTTTAGGAGCCTGTTTTTTCTGGGACACTTTGCTTTTCAGATTCTGAGAAAAGTGTTTTTTGTTCCTTAAATTATTTTAGCTTAGTATTAAAATGAGTTCGCAACTGAAAGTACATTTGTTTTTCCAATTTGAAAGAGAGGACAATAAGTCGATATGTTACTTATGCGGCTAACACCTTTCTGGCCGCCAAATTACAAACCTCAGGCGGAATTATGTGGACAAACACTGTGACGTATACGATGCTTTATACAAAGAAAAAAGTGAAAGCATCAATTCAGAAAATTTAGGCGCCAACAATTGCATCTCTTGTAAAAATAGTCCCTTTCACTTTGGAAAGGAAGGCTGTTGCGAAATTATAAATCCAATTTACTCCGCCCTTGATATGACACCCATTACTTCCCGAAACATCATGAACCATGCCCGAAAAAAGGAATGTTAATAAGGGAAGAAATAAGAACTTTGGTAAAGTGCAAGCTTTTGTCTTTGAAAAGCGATGTGGTGACAAGATTAGAACAATCTATATTGGTAGTTAACCTGCATATGTTCACCGAGAAAATTTGAGAACGAAAAAAACCAGAGCAAATCTGCTCTATTTCAGTATTTTTACTTCTCACTTTATCGAGGAGAAATTGTTCTTTTTGTTCTAGATTCTGCTGATCGAGAAGAAAAGATCTTGAACTCGAGAATAAAAGACCTTCAACCTGGGAAGAAAATAGTCTAAGACTTTATTGAAAGAAATAAAAATTGTGAGAGAAATCCTCTCTCAAATTGTTCGGAAAGTTACCGAAGTATACTTGAGTGTTGAAAAGTGGAAGGATGGAGACGGAGATCGCAATAGATGACCGGTTGTTAGACCTATTAGTTTCATTTGATTTGTTTGAGGCCCAGCGATACTTGCACGGTAAGTATTTAATATTTTGTAAAATTAAAAGTAAGTATATAATTATTATTATTTACATATATGTAGAAAAAATATTTTATATAATTTAAAAAAGTGACGCTGCTGCAGTTCATGTATGTATGTGTTTTTTTGTTTCCTTTGATTCTTATTCTTGTTCGACTTGTAAATGCTCGCACGTCACAGTCGTAAAAGAGTTAGAATCAAAAGAGACAAAAAAAAAACATACATATGTACATAGACTGCAGCAGCGTCACTTGCGGTTAGCAGAACCACGCTTCAAATTTTTTTAACCAGTTTTTTTCAGACAATTTAGTTTTGAAATTCGAATATTTAAATTGTTACACTGTTTAATCATTTTTCTTTTAGGGCCGGAGTTTATTTTGAGTGCCTTGAATTCATCACAGCAGAGGAGATAAAAGAAACTATTTCGCCCCCATTCATATGAATGTTTTAATTATTGATAAGAAAATTATAAGATTAAAATACATTTAGCTATATAATTTCAAATGTAAAATGTATAAAAAAAAATAAATAAAAGAAAATAAAAAAAACACTATATTAAACCAGTTAAATGGCATTTCTGGCATTTCTACTAAAAAAAAACGTTCTCAACAGTCTCGGTTTCAGTATTTGCGTGCTCAATAGTGAGCCAAGAACGGATTTTTTATTCTTGCTTAGAGAAAAGGTCTTCTTGGTTCTAAGAACCAAAAGGCCGAACGTTTTACTCTCGAGGCCGAAAAGACATATTCCGAATTCGAGTATGTTCAGTCTTAAAAAAGCATTCTTGATCTAAGAAAATGTTTTCTTGATTTCAGTAAATCCGTTCTTGGCTCACTATTGAGCATGGAAATACTGAAATCGAAACTGTTGAGAACGGTTTTTTTTCTCGGTGTTTGATTCGTCAGTGTCATAAACGGAGCTCTTCGCAAGGGTTAAATGAAAAGGATATATCATGTTATTACATGGCTTAAGCCATTTATTTTTGTGTAGCATTACATCGGACAACGGGAAAAACATGGCAAAGTCTATTGAGTTGCTTAATGATAAGAAATGATAGACATGGATTTTATGGATTTCCGGATATACAGCATGTGCGTTGTACAGACCACACACTCCAACTGTGTGTGTATGATGTCAATAGACATTGCGAAATTATTAAAAAAAAAACATGTTCTTGTCGTAAAATGTGCAAAAATGTACGTAATTACAAAATTCAATATATCTGATATTACGCAGACGTACGTTGATGAAAAACCACAAAAACGTACCAAATCTCGATGCCATCACAAGGTGGAATTGTACTTGTATAATGCTTCAAAAGTTATATGACTTAAAAGAATATATTTCAAGTAGCATGGTGGTTGAAAACGATTGGAAATGTGTTGAGCTGTATATTGACTATTTAAAAGATACTTCTGAAGCTTCGCTGACCCTGCAGCAGAAGCAAATTGTGTTTTCGGAATTCTTTATATTGTGGATGGAGCTCCGGCTAAACTGTGAAAAAAGGCAGAAAGAAATTAACAAAAAGCTTTTAACATTTCTTAAAATTCGTGAACGCAAGCTGGTCGAAAAAGATGCATTGCTGTCAGCGATTAAGATGGACCCACAAATTAAACTGATTTTAACTGACCAACAAAAACTGTTGGCAAAACAAAATTAAAAAAAAAATGGTATCGCATATTTAATTTAAATCAATTGAACCAGGTAAGTATTAAAAATCTTTTTTGTTATGTATATTATAATACACATCTTATATTTAAATAAAGGTTAAATCAATTTTTGGAGCAGATGACATTTCTATTACAGATGTACCTGGCCGATCGAGTAGTATGGACGCTAGCAAGGACGATTCATTGTTATCATCACTTTTGGGTAACATAGATAAAATCCCTCGAGTACAAGATGAAGATGTTTCAGAGTATCAGGCAAAATTGTTTGTGGAAATTGACTATTTTCACTATGTAACATATATGGCCGTTTTGCCTTAAATCGTGATATTCAACAATGAAGTTCAAGTCCCCAAAGCAATGCGAGCTCACTCCGGTCATGTTGGCCACACCGGCCAACCAAGTGTCGGAGGAGAGAGCCTTCTCAGCCCTGAACTAAATTTTAAATAAGAATAGGTTCTCCTTGACAATGTTAATTCTTTGTTAAAAGTAAAACTTAATAAAAAAGGGCAACAACCTATATTGGTAGTTAACCTGCATATGTTCACCGAGAAAATTTGAGAACGAAAAAAACCAGAGCAAATCTGCTCTATTTCAGTATTTTTACTTCTCACTTTATCGAGGAGAAATTGTTCTTTTTGTTCTAGATTCTGCTGATCGAGAAGAAAAGATCTTGAACTCGAGAGAAAAAGACCTTCAACCTGGGAAGAAAATAGTCTAAGACTTTATTGAAAGAAATAAAAATTGTGAGAGAAATCCTCTCTCAAATTGTTCGGAAAGTTACCGAAGTATACTTGAGTGTTGAAAAGTGGAAGGATGGAGACGGAGATCGCAATAGATGACCGGTTGTTAGACCTATTAGTTTCATTTGATTTGTTTGAGGCCCAGCGATACTTGCACGGTAAGTATTTAATATTTTGTAAAATTAAAAGTAAGTATATAATTATTATTATTTACATATATGTAG